CCGTGGCTATAGACAGGTCGTGGTAGAAATAGTCCAACTGTAGAAAGAGACTGTCCTTGGCTTTTATTAATAGTCACAGCGAAACATACCGCTCTAGGAAACTGTCTCCTTTTCATTTTGAAAGGAATATTGTTGTCTATTGGGACAATTTTCATTCAAGGAATAGGTACTATATCACCAATGTTACTACCAGATATTACTCTACCTTCAATGATATAACGTCCCATTCGTGTAATTTGTAATCTTGTACCGTTGCATAGTCCATTCCTTTGATCAACATTACACAGTAAGATGATCGGAACATTAAGTTTTATAACCAACCTGTGATTAGGAAGCCCAGAAACTTTTACACTATTGAGGAATTCAGGAGTGTAAATACCCTGGTCAGCTTCAGATCCATGTTCTGAAGTTTCCATACTATCTGAACTGAGATATTCATGTTCTTCACCGGGCAATAATCCTATCATATAATCATTAACTTTGTCAACAACCTCATGGGTTGGACATAATATTGCTCTTTCCCGAAACCATGTAGCGTCATTTAAACTGTTGAGCAAATCTGGATATACAGTACCGAAGATGGCTTCTATAGGATCTCCAGGAGTCTGTATGATGACTTCATCTGGGAAAACAATTTCAGCTTCTCCATCATTTGGTTCATTGATCTTGCCTTCCCCAATTTTTAACAACCAATCCCCAAATTCACGTATCTCCTCAGTGTCAGTCACATTATTCCCACCACGTAATCTCATATTAACAGTCAATCTCAGAACCTTACAATGTCTCCATAGATGAGATGAGTTTATCGCAGAGTTGACAATATCTGCTCTGGTACCTTTAGGAAAAACCGGTAATATTTGTCTGAAATCACCTCCAAGGACAACAACTTTACCTCCAAATGGAAGATATGGAGCATTTGGATTAGAACGTCTTAGTACATCCTTTAGTGATCTGTCAAGAGCTTCAAAACAATGCTTATGTACCATTGGGACTTCATCCCATATGATAAGTTTTGCTCTTGATACCAAAGCACATAGATCACTTCCTGCTTTTATAGTACATATTGAATCATTTGTCACATTGATGGGAATTTGAAACCTTGAATGAGTTGTCTTTCCACCTACCAACAGTAAAGAAGCAAGACCACTCGATGCCACATTGAGTATAATGTTTCCTTCTTTGCGTACTGCAGTTGAAATTGTAAGCCACACGTACGTCTTTCCAGTTCCAGCATACCCATATACAAAAAACAAACCTCTTTTCCTTTTTGAACTGCAGCCAATATCTCTTTGTAGATTTCCAGTTGTTTAGCAGTAAGGTTAGAATAAAGAACATCATGTTCTTCTTTCAGTGATGATCTGTCATAATCTAATTCGTCGTGGATCATTGGATTTGTACCATCATCAATGAACACGTCTCCAGGATATGGCATACTAAGAAAATCCTTTAGACTTTTACCATGAGATCGTAAAATAATTTCAATTTCCTTCAGTGTATGCATCTTCATTTCGTCTTCAGAAACATTGTAATCTGTATATTAACATGAAGGGAATAAAGTAATTAACATTAGATGCATAAATTTTAAAAATATATGGCAAATATAAAATATTAGAATATAAACAAATTACCTTCATTCCAATATAACCATTTCAATCTTTTAGATATGTCTTCTGTGTAACAGTCCCAAGTTTCATTCCATACATGATCAGGTTGCGACACAATGTCACCTTCTAATAATTGTGCAAAAAGGTTTCTACACTAATTTGCTGAACCCTATGTAGAACCCTCTCTTATGCAATCTATGTATTCTTTGTCATTATCAAGTAACCCTCTTGCAAAGCAAGCTTCTTTGAATGTTGAATATTCTGTTCTATTGACTGTCATGATATCTTCATAACATGTAGGACCTTTGACTATGTTAAGTAGAACCCTTAGGTAGTAAGGTTCACTAGCAACTATAGGGACTCCATGGATTCTACCAATACTTGAGCCTCTTTGTCTTGGTGTCCACTTTTTTCTTTCTTTTTCCACACAAAATATTTTAGAAAATTGATGTATGTAAGACTTTTAGCTTCAGGTTAAATGGAATTAGCTTTTATCCAAGTAGTAAACTATGAATGCCTGTTGGAAGTCCTGATGACAATAGTTTCTACAGTTTGACCCTCATCATAGACAACATTCTGTTGACCAGGCATATGGACACTTAGACGTTCAACATGATATGACCTGTAGTGTATAGGGAATGAAAACATACGCCATGCAGCTTCACAACCTGACAGATATCTTCCTTCGTACCAATCTTTAACCTCATCTTTTGGACCTTTATCTAATTGTTCCCTAATTATCTCACCATTGACAGTGTATTTGAAACAAACTCTGTCGGAACCTTTGTTCAAATATTTGAAAAGATACTTTATAGCACCTACTTGATTGCACCATTCGACGTTTATATGTGCATAATACCTAAGACTCAACACTTGATTGTAACCAACAACCCATCTGTTGTCTATAGTTGCACCGTCTTTTTCAAATGTCCTGCCATCTTCTCTTCTCCTGTAATCTGGGAAGCATCCCGACCAATACTGGTAGTTTCTTTGAACTTTTTAGGGAATCTTTTTGAATATTGGTGTTTAACCATACAAGGACTATAGGGGAAATCATCACCAATGGACCATGAATCATCATTTCGACAATGTTGTATAAATCAGGATGGTCATATGAAATTGTCGATATCTTCAGGTTTTGATAGCTTGTCATCTCGATGTAACCAAATAACTATATGTGCATGTGGGAGCCCTCTTTTTTGATACTCTATAGTGTATACAGCTATACAATGATAAAATACATTCTTCATAAGTTAATTAAAGTTATAAATATAAAAGAAATTATTTAGTAAAATAAACTGAAGTATAAGAAAAAAAGTACTTGCTTCCTGTCTGCCATATATATTTTTGTCTTTAATAAATTTCATCATCCAGTTAAGCTTCATCATGAATACCCTCGTAACAATATCTGGTCTATCTTCGGGCCTAAGCCCTTTGCTGTTGCAATACCTGGTTATCTCTGGCCATTTGTTGTTACACGTGAAGGTTAAGAAAACAGCGGGATACCCATAAGTTTCAACTATTGTCATTGCATCAATGTAATTTTCCCTTTTCCATCTATCACCACCTGTGAATGAAGAAGGCATTATAACCCTCCCAATATCTGAAGCATCTTGATTTCCTTTTGAAAGTGACTTTTTCATGTTTTCATATGTTTCACAGCACAAATTTCTTTGATTTTTCTTGATCCAACATATTTTTCCTGATTCAACTGCACTGTATCCATCCACTAAAAATTGTGGGAAAAGTCTCCGAGCATATAACAACATTGAATCATCCTGGTTTCTATCTTGTCTACGGAATGCAAACCATTCTCGGAGACTCATCCATTTTCGTGGTCCTTTATACTCTTCTTCTACACCATCAGTATCATCAATTTCATCATCATTATCACCTTTTGAATCTTCTGGATCTCCAAGTTTGATGTTTCTTCTGAAACCATTTTCACCATATGGAAAAATCAATGGATATTGAAGTGATATATGTGAAGGATATAGCTCATTGATACGTTGCAATTCTCCAAACTTATACTGAACAATGATATCTCGTGTTTTAGATTCGTTTCCTTCATCGCCAGGTAGTATAGCTGCAACTTCATCGACGGTTGGTAGATTATATGTTCTACCATCCATATCTCTAGTTGAAATTAATTTGAATCTGATTTCAACTGAAGAATCTGCCTGAAGGGTGTCACGTACCTTCCTGTAGTTTTTAACCAACACATGTATTCATCCATTGCAGTCTGTATGTCACTAACAATTTGTGAATCAAGTTGTTTAGCTTGTTTTTTTACTCTGCTCCGAACTGCAATTACATTTGATCAGTAGTGTGTAAAAATTATGTCTATAATAATATTGTGAAACATAAACTAAGGATGTGAGCTGTTATAAAAACTGTTAAACATACCTGAAAGCTCTAATTTTGTTACTGGTTTCATTTTTAGTATCATAAATGTACAGCTGAGAAAATTTTGGCCTCAAATCATCTTCTAGCAGTAGACTGCCCATTAGATGGCTATTATGACCTTACATTTTAAATACATAGGGTGCACGACCATCATTTATTGAGTTTACAATATTACCACCCATAGATGTAAAGGCGAACTTATTATATGCTCGGATGTTCTCCAAAAAATGTTTATTATTTGTATTATTTGACATGAACAACTCCTTAAGCTGAGCAGGGGGTTCCTGCAATAGGGGTAGGTGTATTTTGCTTTGCATGCAACAAATTGAGAATTTAGGTTGTAACGGTTTTCGCTGTTTGTTGACCCTTTCTTCGTACCACATATTAGCGCCGCAGAATTCACATAAATATATTGGATCTCCCAAATCATGATATTTTACAAAATTTAACAAATATATTAATAATATATGTGATAACATCCTGGTAAACCCTATAAATTAATGTACTTAACTGAGGTTTGCTGTTCAATAAAGATAATACCTTAATTATGTATGATAAGTTCTTCTGATTAATTTTACATTTTCCAAGACGCAATGTATTCTTCCTCCTTGTGGAAACACTATTTTGGGTAGCTTGTTGATTTGCATTCAAGATGACCTCAGCTGCAGTAGTGACTCCTGCGTACTCAGTATTTTCGAAACAGCAAATTTAAAGGTATGTCATCATTATGAACTATATAATTACAGAACTCATAAGAAATTCTCTTGTAAACATACCCGATGAATTTGTTTCATTTTTACAATTTGTTGTTTGCAATTTATTCATCTGAAAACTGCGCTGAGTACTCTGTCTGCAATTTGAACGGACTTGTGAAGTATCATTAACTGATAAATTGTTTGTTATCTGAGATGAATCACATATAATAACACCACCTCTAATAATAACAGATTGCTTTTCTTCAATGGTTTTGCCTCTCTTCTTGTCTGTTATTTACTTCATGTTGGATCTTGACTTGTTAACAGTTCCTAACCAATCATGAAGACAGAGATGTAATATATCCAGATAATTTAGGAAAAAATATTAAATATATGTATGAAAATTATATGAAAGCGACACAGATATAATCATCTGCACATTTATATATGAAAGCATACCATCTGATACAGAACAGTTTGATGGTGTTATCGAATTTTGAATAATGGCTGACTGAAGTTTCAACTTCTTATCCATTCTGATCCGGTATAATTTGTTATTTCTTAACATTCTTGAATGTTTAGCACTGATACGTTCCGCTTTGGATATATTTACTGAATGCTTTTGAGGTTGTACGGTATCTGAATGCATACCTCCATCTAACTGACCTTTCAAAATCTGTTTCCTGGTAAATCTTGCATCCTTACCAGTGACAGCATCATTGATTTGAACTGTAGAAACCACCACTGTTTGCTTATTTCTTCTGTGTGACTGAAGCGACAACCTTTTTGATTTTAATAAACCTTTCCTGAACAATCTTGCTTCTTTTGCAAAAGTATTAACCATTATGAAATTTCTGAAAGGTTGGCTAAAAGTAATTCACAGTGCTCTTTGATTCAAAATATAATAGTATAATAATAATTGTGAATGTACTTGTGAAGTATTATCTTAAGTTTTGATAAAATTGGATCTATATATGGCTAAAATTTTTGTGTTTATCAAATATATATGATTAATTATAATATTGACATCCTAAAAAAGTGGGATCTGATATACTTGTACAATATTATGGCATATCAAGATTTTTTTTATTTGATATCCAAAATAATTTCCTACTGTACATCTATATTCTTTTTAAAAAATACTTTGATTCTTTTTAGTATTAATTTTCTTAATTTGATAATTTTGTTAACTCAATTTGATTACTAGTCAGTTACCCACGGGCTTATTTTTTTTAACAGTCATGGTAAATAATTGACTAAAATACATTGTTATTGTATATAAAATAAAATATACACGTACAGAAAAATAAGTTATAAAAAAACTTAGAAATTGCATTGTTTTCATCAGAATAAAATAAAAAACACCAGATAGTGTCTTCTACAGGACTTCTATAATCAGATACTCTTTATTACATGCCTTGCGAGCATCTATATGAAACCTAAAGTTATACCTAAAGGTATTTTCTTCAAATCCATCATGTGCTTTATATCACATTCAATAACAAACCGATGTAGATTGTCATTAGTCACAGTTTGATGCATGTTAATTACTGGAACTCCATCATAATATAAAATAGCATTTGTATAGTCATCTAACTTCAGTCGTCGTACTATATGCTAGGGTATCTCCTGCAATATGATTAAAAAATTATTTATAATTGAATAATTAATTCGAATTCCTATAGTAGTAAACTATTATCAACACATTTTATTACCAATCTGCCATGGTGGATTACAGTCTCAATTATGACTGCAGAAAATATGTTATAATCACCGTTGCTGCATAGATAGTCCACTGTGTCAACTTCACCTGAATATAAATTAATATTAATATTATAATATGTATTATGATAATAATGTTGGTTGAATTCAGTGAATTAATTATAAGAAAAACAGTAAATACAAACCTTCAGATGTATCCGAATCAACAATATCTAGGTTGCAGCAGTAACATTCACTGTTGAAAAGCCTTAAATAGAAATACAAATTTCCAGTGTAAACAACAATTACATTCACATATTTTATTCTGTTATAATATAGTCATGAAACTCCTCTTACATCGGGCCTGCAAAAACTACTGGTTCATTATTTTCCTTCATGATCATGAACTCCCATTGATTGCGCTTAACATCAACACACTTTGCTGTAGTTTGATTTGAACGCCAATCAATACCATTAAAGAAATAATTTTTTAATGACCTGAAACTTATGCCCATTGATTAGTCCATTTATATGTATTATTAAATAGTTCTTTAGTGTAAAGGACTAAGATAAATAAAAAAAAATAAATGAATTATAAAAGTCAATAACACTTATAACTTACAGCTTGTTTGGATGTACTATCATCTAATCTCAACAGATAGCGGTTATCAGTTCTTGCATTCACATCTGGGTGAATCCTTTCACATCCATCATAATTAAAATGAAATAATTGTAACACATTCAGGGATCTGTGATAAACAACATTAATTTTGGATCCAGAAGATACACTAAACTCCTGGAAAAAAAAAGATTTCAGACCAGATATATATATTTGCATAAAAATATCGATTTCCCTGGAAATCAATCTTGATCTGTTTTCCAACATGCCTCAAGACTAAAGTTAAGTTACTGCTAAGAATCTAATAATTTACATAAACTGGTTGTCAATAAGAAATTTTTATAATCGATCATGATATAATTAGAAAATTATAAAGGACTTACCAATCCTTTTCTGCGAATGTTTATTAGAACACTAATCAATTGATCATAAGCCTCTTCCATTGTTTACTTCTATCTCCAATGCAGTCTGTTTGGTGATCTCAGAGTCTATATGCTATATCAATATAAAAAGGGCTTATGAAGTTTAGTTTTTTTGTTCTGGAAATTTGATCTGTAATGATGATTTGACAGGAAAATATATTATCTCCTCTTTATGACAATTAAAGATAACCTCTAAAAAAATGGGATTTAAAAGAATCAAAACAGTTATAAAAGAATAATAATATACTCTGTATGTAGCATCGTTTCAAATCCACAAAAGCCAGGAGTAAAATGAATCTCCACTTTTTAAGGACCTGATACATATTGTATTTTTTTCATTTAAACTCTCAAAGTAAAACACAATACAAAGACTTTACTAAAACAGTAATTGATGTCTGATGATTCAACGTTAAAGTGAAAATTATTTCTGTTCCACAAAAAATAAAAGCAAATTGCCAATTCAGATACATAAATTTTCGCCTAAAAATTACTCATTGCATAAAGTGAATTGGAAATCAATAGCGTCTTTCCTTGGTTGGACACTATCCCTGTCCAAATGGAATTCGCATTGACTTCCAGTTGCAATAGAATTCTCATTGAGCAATTGCATCCACTCCCCCACAATTTTCAACTGGCAAACCCTCTTTCCAATTTACCTTTGATCATATGATTTTTGAAACTTCATTGTGTAGGGTCCTGCAGTAGTATGTATAACAGCTGTCCTTTTGAAGACAATTTTCTTGTTATGTCTCCAAAAATGTGCAGGAACAGTCTGGCAATAAGAAGAAGGTGTTATAAATTTCAGAACCCTTAATGTCCGTAATATACAGGAAAATGTAACTTTAAAAACACTGATAATATAACTCACAATCGCTCTTTTTTTGTAATAGTTATCACCAATCTCTATCTTAAAACGGTCTTCTTCTATGATTGTTATAGGACCCTGAATTTCCACTCCATTAGCTTTGAAAAATTGCATTGTAAAATGCATATTCCCTTCATATTTAAGAATTGTGAATTCACATTCTTGCAATCTGTCATGATTGTGAGAATCCATTCCTCATGATCTCGGTGATAATTATAGTTGATAAAGTATATTTTATTTAGACTCCATAAATTTTTTTTTCTTAAACGGCATGTTTAACTAATTAAAAATAAAAAGGATTCAATTGAAACTATTTGAAGTATAGGGATTAGAGTAATCAAGTTAACCCACTTGAGGGACTTAGGAAGCAATTATATTTCTTATCACTTAAACCCGCTTGAACGATGTTGTTTCTTAAACTTCTGTAGACTTCTTCTACAGCCTCTTTCATCTTCTCGAACCTCCCCCTTTCTGACCGATCTTCATTTCCACAACCCCAATGTGATTTCATCCTCATCTTCTCCTTCCTTCTATGAGCTTTCATTTCTTTAAATTCTCAAATCAATGGTAGCAACCAATGGCCAGCCCTTCTTCTTCAAATCATCTTCTTTACTTTAAAGCCCAAACATAACCTGGTTAAGGAGGTTTGAAGTAAGGACCAGCTAGGGAGCCGAAAATAGGAGAACAAAAGCAAACAATAGAAAAGGTAAATTGCAATCCTTTTAACTTAGATTCAATTCTCCTTTTCCTGGGATTTCATGGTCTTAAAATCACTTAAGAGCCCATGGATAATTCTGGGTAGAAGGGTGAACTTCAATTGAAATCAGATTGTTTATTTTATGGGGAATTAACCGGACGTTGTTGATGATATGCTTGATGTTGTGATTTCTTCTTTTTTCTTTTTTCTTAACCTAAGGCAAAACCTTCTATGAGGATAAAAAAGCAATTTTTAGCCATGAAGAACTCTGAAAAATTATACTCTAATGAAAATATATGAATCTCAGAGTTATACTTTTGTATCTAATTGTTATTGAAAAATTATGAGACTCCAGTGTGAAGGTATCTTTTTATAATGATAGGTATATAACTATATATATGGAAGTTATACAAAGTATCTGTTTTAATGTTTTAAATTAAGCCATTTTAGTTAGCATGATACAATGTTTATCTCTCAACTATATTATTCATTTATAGTAGTACACTTCATAGCTTATAACTCTTATGACTGCATATTCACACAGGAATATTTTCACCTTCCTGTTTGTATTTCATAAACTACTACTCAAAAGTTAACTTATTGTTTATAAAAGCAACTGCAAAAGTAAATGTACTTCTTTTGATTTCTCATATTCTAGTAATCACATTAATAAAAATCTTTAACACATCAGTAAAAATAATATATAATAAAACCAGATAATAATAGATATTAAACATGAAAAACTGGAATCCTCAAAAACCAAAAGAAATTAAATATCCAGAGCACCAAAAAAGTATAACGGTACTGGAAAAACTGTAAAAATAACAATGTTTAATCAGAATAACAATTCTGGCAAAGAAAACACCTTAAAAAACTAAAGTGTATGTTTATTGTTGAAGCAGGAAATATCAAGTGCTTTCATGGACATCAAAGTTTTCTGACACGTTTGTTGGGATTGGATTTGACAGTCTTCACCGCAACTTCCTGCACTTTTGTTTTTTGGAGGAGTACTCTCATCCATGTCATCGCCCAAATTCCATATCTCTATATCTCCAGTGCAGGATACTATAGTCTGCAAACAATGGAACATGTAAGTGTCGTCCAAATATTGCTATGCTGAAAAAAGTAAATATATTTGTTTAGTATAATATTCCTTGGCGGTGCTATCCTGGGTAGGTGTCAAATTTTGGTAAGACTCTGCGCACATCTCCGGATCAATCTCCTGTTTATAATATAGGAAAAAAAGTTAGATTATCATGTGCATCTTTTTTAAATCAAGTGCAAATCTATTTAACTGTATATGATCATATAAAAATGTGAACAAACCTGGTCTTCAGAAACATCATCAATGTACTTCTTGATCATTTCTGCATCAGTAGTAAGCCTAGCAACAGAAATCTCACTACTATTGTTCCTGATATTGTATCTAGAGACATCCAACCTGAACAGACATTTCTTGCCAACAATCTCATCTAGTATTTTAGGGTAATCTTTTCCTGCCTGGAAACATGATGATGGTCATTTAAAAAACATAAAAAACTTTTAGTAATAAAATGTACACATTAAAATCAATGAATAAAACCTGTTCACGGAGTTTTTCTGCAGACTTATTGATGAAATTGTACACCATCCTGTCCCAAAGGGTCAAAATTCTGCTTCCAGTAGCATCCATTGCATACACTTGTAACTTGAAGTTATTCATAAAATCATGGAGGAAAATAGTTTATAACAGAGTAACAAATTAAGAAGTTTGATAACAACATATTATTTATTATTTAAATTACAAAAACAGATTGTAAATTATTGAAACATACTTTGGACCAACAGCAGACACAGGGCCATGATTACCATAAAACCATTTTTTCTCAAGCCCAAATTTCTTGTTGTCATTGGTATTTCTTCCTTTTGCTGATGGTACAATACGGGTACCTTTTTCTTTTTCAATTTACTCCACCTTCTTGTTGCAATCTCTGCAACCAATGTATGACCATTCGTACTCTTTTGCTAAGCTTGTGATCTTGCCAAAAATCACAACATACCCTACCTGAAAAATCAAAGTTTTCATATGTTTATACATTCATAGATCATGGAGAGAACATAGTTATGTACTCAAATATTGAAGTAATTATCACTATTAATATGTTACCTCATCAAGATCGTCTATGTCACCCAATGACAAAAGTTTTGCTCCATTTATGAATTCTTCATAAGATGTGTATCCAGAACGTATGACAGAATTGAAATTTTTTGGATACTTGCAGCTTTCATTTCATTGGCACTACTTTTGTATATCAAATAATTATAATATGAATAAAACAATAATTATGCAACTATATGGTGATAATTATAGCAGTTAGTAAGAATAATTATACCTGTCTTTGTACTCCGGTATATCGGGTATTGCCATATCATCAAGATATATCTTCCCATTAAAAAGATTAGTAGTAACAGAAGTTTTTGCTGTTACATAGTTAAAAAAGTACATGATAATTATAGCAATTTCATAAATTTTAATTTACTATGAGTACATTCAGATACATATAAGCAAAAAGATACTCACGGTAGTATTTTTTTCACTTAACATATTGAACAATGAGGACTACAGGAAACTGAGGATTTTTAGATATGTATTTAGTGACTTGATCAGCAAGTTCTCCCCCAACCCCCTCCCCCAACAAAGTAACCTTTAGCTTGTCAGCCCTGCAAAACAGAAGACATTTTTTAGTACCAATGTTTTAATTTCTACAGTATAATGCAATATGAATAATTAGTGTTTAGACTGTAAAAAAAAAAAGTAACATTCACCTTTCATTTTCAAGCTTCACTGAAATCCTCTTCTTTCCATTTTCAACAATTGGATCGCTGTAAGCCATGATGTGGCCTATCAAATCTACATAGTTGAAAATATTTTAAACTTTTTATACAGATTTGTATAAGAAAATTTCACCACAACTTTAAAATCATCTTACCAAAACAATAATCAAAGTTGGCCACAAAGTTTGTAACTTCTGCCAATGGTGTGAACTCAAACACATGATCTGGGATGTCAAAATCAAATGCAGCTTCACCATTTGTGTTTGACATGAACGCAATTTTGTATTCGTGCTTAGCACACCTGAATCCCCCACTAATGTTGAGACAACTGTCAAATCTTGATAATCTTCTAACACAACCTTCTTTGAAAGAATATGCAAAATCTTTCACAATTCTTCCAGGAATGGTTGCTTGAATTTTGCTTTCCTGATAAATGCATACAAATAGGTAATAATATATACTGCAGGAAAATAATTGTGCATGAAAAAACATTAAAACCAATTATGGTGGAATAGTGAATACCTGAGCATCAATCAAACACATCTCAACAGACGTCACTTTGTTTTTTTGGATACTTCTGGAACCTCCCAAAGTGTTATCACTTTGACAACTATGGTGAAATGGTTGCTTTTTGTATCAATCAATCCATTGATGTCAACGATGTATCTTTATGCAGCAAGTATGGGAACACCTGTAGCACCAACATCATTTGGTGGTGTAGCAATGACATCTTCAGATGGATTCACCACAGAATTGTCAATTGCATCTTCATTCACAGTTTCAACATTATCTGATGGTTCAACAACTGCAATATTTGTTTGGTTTGGTAGTGTAACAATGACATCTTCAGATGGGATGAGAATTGGATTATCCACAGCATTTTCATTCACAGTTTCAACAAAATCTTCAGGTTGAATAACTGAAATTGCAGTTTGGTTTGTTTCAGCCATTAGTAAACTATGGCTAATATGAGAATCTGAAAATCTGGTTTTTGCGAATTGCAGGAATGGTCTGATGCAGGATCTGTGAGGAGAATAGATGTATTTATATAGGTAACATATTGCCTCATAGCCCATTTGTGTAAATTAATTTGTGATGATAATGGTTACTGAAAGGCAAAGATTTTGAGATTTGTTCTATAATTGAAAAGTGGTTGTTGATATGCACAGAAAGCTTGCAGATATATACGTCTGTGCAAAACATATATTGATTGGTTTTTTTGATTTCCAGTATAATTTTTTTTAGGAATCCTTTTAAAGTTTTAAATGCATTACAATTTCCATAAGTTACCAAAAAAATTGAATGATGTGGTGATAATTATACAAACTATGCATGTTTTTGGTTTCCATTAACTGATTATATTATCCCATTGAATAAGGTATATGATGTGATCATTTCTTTTTTTAACACAAGAATTTAAAGCTGAAAAACGCGTTGAATATGCTAATGGGATGATTACTGTGAAAAGAATGATACGTGAAGTGGAAAACTATCAAATCTGAAAGATTTACGGACTCTTTTTTGAAGTTCCTATTTTGTGGCCGATATGTACTATTTAATTCAATTACATAAACCAGTTTTACTGCTGTTTTATAGGAAAATTTAAACCGTACTTATAGTCAGACGTAAATAATTAGTTTCTTCCCTAAAATAAAGGTTTTTCACATTTAAATATTTAAATTTAATTTGCTCATTTATAACTGAAATTTTCTGCACATATATAAAGCCACGTGGCGTATTCTTGTTGATTTAGTTTTGTACTGAGAAACACTGAGAATCTTTGGAGAGAAAATTTTTATTCTAGTGCTGATACGTGTATTTCGTGTTTGCTGTTTTAAGTACTACAGATATTGGTTGGTTAACTAAAATTACCGCGTTTTCGTCGTTGCCACTTGATCAATTCTGACGCAACTTCATACAATTGCTCAATCAAGATGTAAAAACACAGGAACCGACAATATTAATAATTATTAATAATGATAGTACTTGGTTTGTTGTTGTTTCGGTCGCTCGTTGTTGATCTCTAAACTCGTGTTTGTTTTTAATCTTTATCATTAATCCCGTGTTTGTCTTCCATTCATTTGAAGGACATTTAATCTAAACCACACCAAAAAGAAAAGGCTTGACTCTTCCAAAACGGACCCCCAAACTTCCTAAAATACAGAAGCGAACACTTTACGACGAGGGAAGAACAAGAGTGGGTCTTTTCCCTAAAAAATTTAATTAAAACAAAGGTGGACAAATTTAAATTTTTCAGAATATTTGTGGACAGGAATATATCCCACGGATTTCCGAAATCCGAGTTATAATTAAAATTGAGAACTCGGATTTCCGAAATCCGAATCTACATTTAATAATAAAATAATAATTAAATAAATTTTGTTAAATAATATTTTTAAAAAAATCTTACATGAACAGTGCCGTTCGGATTTGCGTAATCCGAGTCCCATTAAAAAATAATAAATTGAGGCGCAAAATATTTGAACTGAAATAAGGATTAAATAAACAGTAGTACTCGGATTTCCGAAATCCGAGTTCTCAAAAAGAAAAAATAAAATAAAATAAAATCAAGGCGCGAAATTTTTGAAATCAAAGAACTGGAATACCGTAATCCGGTTACATGTATTAGTGTTATATATTATTTGTATGTACTAGTATTATGTAGTACATTAATATTATTACTCATTATTATGTAGTACATTAATACTAATACCTATCATTATTGGTACTAGTGTTACTTATTCTTGTTAAATCTATTAGTTATTAGATATTATCATAAATTCAAGTATAATTTATACGTATTAGTGTTGTGTATTATTTATACGTACTAGTATTATGTAACACATTAATACTATTACTCATTATACATTACTGGAACTAGTGTTACTTATTACCGTTACATCTATTAGTTATTAGATATTATTATAAATTCAGTATAATTTATCTGTATTAGTGTTGTGTATTATTTATACGTACTAGTATTATGTAACACATTAATACTATTACTCATTATACATTACTGGTACTAGTGTTACTTATTACCGTTACATCTATTAGTTATTAGATATTATCATAAATTCAGTATAATTTATCTGTATTAGTGTTGTGTATTATTTATACGTACTAGTATTATGTAACACATTAATACTATTACCCATTATACATTACTGGTACTAGTGTTATTTATTACCGTTACATCTATTAGTTATTAGATATTATCATTAATTTAGTATAATTTATCTGTATTAGTGTTATGTACTATTTGTACGTACTAGTATTATGTAATACATTAGTACTATTATCCATTATACATTACTGGTACTAATGTTACTTATTACTGTTACTTCTATTCTTTATTAGATATTATCATTAATTTAGTATAATTTATCTGTATTAGTGTTATGTATTATTTGTACGTACTAGTATTATGTAATACATTAATACTATTATCCATTATACATTACTGGTACTAATGTTACTTATTACTGTTACATCTATTCTTTATTAGATATTATCATTAATTTAGTATAATTTATCTGTATTAGTATTATGTACTATTTGTACGTACTAGTATTATGTAATACATTAATACTATTATCCATTATACATTGCTGGTACTAGTGTTACTTATTACTATTACATCTATTCTTTATTAGATATTATCATTAATTTAGTATAATTTATCTGTATTAGTGTTATGTACTATTTGTATGTACTAGTATTATGTAATACATTAATACTATTATCCATTATACATTCTTGGTACTAGTGTTACTTATTATTGTTAAATCCATTAGTTATTAGATATTATCATTAATTCAATATAATTCATCCGTATTAGTGTTATGTATTATTTGTACGTACTAGTATTATGTAGTACATTAATACTAATACTCATTATACATAAGTGGTATTCTTGTTATTTATTATTATTAAATCTGTTAGTTATTAAATATTATCATTAATTCAGTTATAATCTATATGTACTACTGTTATGTACCTTTTAAGCAAATAATCGTATTTTCAGAATCTGAGTCAAGTAAAAAATTAGATTTTCAAAATAAGGCCATAGGGTTTAGGGTTTAACTTCGGATTTCCCAAATCCGAGTGTTACTTATACTCGGATTACCAAACTCCGAGTGTAACCTATAAACGGATTACTAAAATCCAAGTGCAACATATACTCGGATTACCAAAATCCGAGTGTAACATATACTCGGATTTAGGGTTTAGGGTTTAGGTTCGGATTTTTAGAATCCGAGTTTATCAGGGAAACATGGAAGATTCGGATTTCGGCAATCCGATTCGTATTCAAAAAATTACCAACACTTGTACAAAAAAAAATTTTCCTCAAAAATTAATATTTTAATCATAAAGTCAGATTTCAGAAATCCGAATTATGATTAATTATGACAGATGAAAATTTTACTTAGTTTTAGTTTTAATTAAAATGAATTCGGATTTTCAAAATCCGTTTTCTATTAAATTCGGATTTCCGAAATCCGAGTTTACCCCGGATTCGGATTTTTGAAATCCGAAGGATATAGATTTGTCCACAAAAATTTCAAAAAAATTAATTTGGTCTACCTTTTTTTAAAGAAAATTGTTTAGGTCAAAAACTCGAACAAGAGTGAGTTAATTTCAATGAATCCAATATTCCCAATACTTGATTAATTCATTGAGCTGAATAATCATTTCTAAGAACTTTATTTAATACTATTGGTTTACGGAAATCAAATTGCAATGAAGTCTCATTAATCATTTCTGAGAATTTTAATTAATATTCATTCATGTGATTGTGATTGAACTCAATATTTCACTATTTCAAACTTGATGTGTATGAGCTCTCATATTTTGTCAAAAAAAAAAAAAACCCTATATTAAGCATGAATGTATTATGAGTAACTTTGGTGGATTTTCATCTCAGTGAACTTGGTATCATGCCTTTGGGCATGAGTACATTCACTAGTAGTCTAGTATCCACATTAAAAAAAATAAAAAAGAATTACAGTGAAATCGTTTATTCAAAGTAAAAGACTCTTGCAAAATATATGTGAAAGCACTTTATATATTTTCTCTCCTAAAAAAATTCATATTTGTAAAATGAAAATTTTATTGTACAATTGACAATGTATAATGAAATATTGCGAATGATGCCTTCCAGATGATCAGGTGTTTGAGACCTTCATTTTTTAGAAAACGATCGAAGCTAACATTTTTCTTCAAAAAGTTGAATAAAACACATTTTTCCTTCTCACAATTAACTTTTTTTTTTTTTGCCAAGTTTGGGCTTTGACATCAATCCTCGAAGACCAGGATTCGACTCCCACTAATAACACTCTTAAGTGTTGAGTTGTGCAAGTTTTCATCATGCACTCGCCAGAAGACCTTCTAAGTACCAGATCGAGACGTGTGGAGTCTCTCCAGACTTCAATTTTTGCCTTTGTCCTGTGTATCTAATAACTTTTTCCTAAGAAAATTAATATTAATTTATATTTAATCTATGTATAAACATATGACCCCAGAAATTTAATTTGTCTCCTTATTCATCAAAATCACTCTGGTTGAAAATTGGAGAAATAATAGCATAACTTCAATGATTGAAGAGTGTTGGATGTACTCCATGAACCACAACCAACCTGTTGAAAATTTTCAGGAGATGTTTATCTGGATGAGCAAATGTCAACAAGCCACCAGCAAAGTTAATTTAAGGATATAATTAATTTCCTGATAAGTTGATCAATTTCCTCATGATATCAAAATTGGGTAGATGTGACAATATGCTCACAGTCAAAAAAACAGTACAGTAACACATAACAATGAGCATTCAATAACACAACACAGAAACTACAGTTTCTCCTATTATGGAGACAAATGGGGTGATACCAGACAGAAACAACTAGTATCTACAACCAACCATATAGCTACTCCCAACAAAAGCGCTCTCTCACAATGGACCATTAGTTTGACTTCGACACGGCAAACATGCTACAACTCAAAGACACATTCTACCTATATATATGATTTCTGGAAGTAAATGATAGCTAGAGTCTCAATCTTTGACTTGTTTTCGGCTCATAGCTCAGAGCTGCACTTTTCTATCGTATATCCAGCTGAATGGCAGGATGGGTCCTTGTTTGGCTCTGGCTTGAGCTCTCTCCTCAAGCTTTCTGATTCTTGGAGGCAGTCCGCAGACATAATCTTGAGCTTTTCTGCCCTCTGAGGATAGTCCAGTCAGATCTCCCACTTTCCATCTGCCGACCAGAAACTCCAGTATATCTGCATAGTCCTTGGCTGTGTAAACACCAAGGCGTTGTGCAACGGCTGAGAAGTGGTCAAAAAGATCATCATCACGTCCATCATACATCAAGTGAGCGGGCATGGATATTTTTTTCCTCATCATGTCAGCAAATGCAAGCACTGTACCATCAGGATCAATCTCAAATAACTTCTCAACAATCTTGGTGTAGGCAGTTTCATGGCGTTTCTCGTCAGCTGCAATTATACCACAAATTTGAGCCAATTTCATGTCGCCATGCTCCTTGGCTTGCCGGGCAGTGTTTCCATGGGAAATGAAAGTTGCCCTTTCCTGGAATGATGTATAGATGAATCCAAGGTAAGGACTGTTTTCAGTTCGAGGGTCCTGCAGAATTATGAAAAGAATGAGATACAGTTTAAGATTATCACAAATCAAGTAAAGAAGAATTTATAAACTCTCATCAAGTGAAATTCTAACCACTGAAGCATAAACACTTGTAAGCACATGACTGTAGATATATACCAACAGTTACATGTATTATGTTGACATTCGAGAAAGATGTGTGGGACAATGGAGAATCGAAAGGTCCAAATACAATGTCAAGTGCTCGAAACAAATGATGAAGTAGAAGTGTCTGCTTGAAAATTTTAAGGCCATTGTTAGATTAACTGAAACAAGTGAAGAGAAATACTACAAAGAGGAATTGCCTCAAGGAAAAATTTTCTACAGAATTAATTCTAAGCAGAAGATAAGCTAAGCTCTCTTTTGACAAAAATTTACAGTAATCAATTTTGTTTTGCTATCAGGCCCAACAGAGTCTGTTTCTTCAGAGAAGAATTCTCACACTTCTCATGGCCAATGGAAATGATTTAGAAAATAAATCATTTAAAATAAAGAAAATCAGGAAAACAATTACAGGTTTGTTCTGACAACCCAGAGACGAACATGAATATATGGTTATATGCTCTAGACCATAAACTTTTAGAAGAACACATGTAGACTTCTCTGGGTTTCAAATAATGAGAACCTACGCTTTCATTTTTCAGTTTCCTACTATTTGTTAAATTTGCAGATGCGTTCAAAAGCAGATAATCCATCATTTCAATCATCATTAACAGTAAACTCATAGAACTCAGAAACAATCCACCTGCTTCTAGTAAGCAATCTCATTAAAGGCTAAAACTCTCACGTCTTTAAACCATCATAGTGCTTTTGCAGTGATATCAAAACTGTAATAGTTAACCAGATCATAAACAACAAACAAGCTAAAGACTTACCATTCCCGATCCTATCAGATACTGAATTGTTTTCTCAATTTGTCTCATGTCCACTCTCCCAGACAAGTAGAGGTACTTGTTCAGAAGGTCACCATGCCTGTTTTCTTCGGCGGTCCAAGCCCTTGTCCAAACAGCCCAAGGAGTCAAACTTGCTCCAGTTTCATCACGAACACCATCCAAGGTGTTAAGCATTGTTTGGTAAGTTGGAAGGGCTTCTTCTGTTATCATATCTCCAACCAAAACAACAAAATATTCATCTGGAATTTCCTTTGCTCGCTCCCTCAGTTCCTTGACTTGATCATGGAATCCATCAGATGCGGGATCTGGAAGAAAGTCCTGTGGTTGCCAACATTTCTCCACTGGCTTCAAGTGAACCAAAATATTTTCCTCAGCCCAGCCCTCAATACTTTTGAAGATCTCAATTTTCTGAGGTGGCATGGAGTGCGTTACTTGCACATGAACCTCACGGGGGGGACTGAACGGCTTTTTGATACTGTCAACCTCTCTAAATGCATAAACAGAGTATTAGAATATATAAACTTGGAGGACAAGTTAGCAAGTCAAAATATAAAAGAAGCAGACAAAGAGGGGTGCATCAGCGAAGACGAGGCTTGCCATATATTCTTTCATTAGATTTCAGTATTAATATCTACAGCCAGGTTTTTTATATACATTTAAGACAAGGACATACTGTTATTAACTGTAAGGTATATCACAATTGAGCGGATAGAAGATACACGAGGGATTGTTCACAATGGGATCACTAAATTGTGGTCATCCGAAATCTCAATTTTCAAGGGATTGCTCTGAAGAAAACAAAAGTTCCTCCAAAATACTAATCAAATGAATGGAAAAAGCAATATTATTATTAAGGCAACAGAAATGGCTTGAGCATATGCATTATTTTATTACAGACGGACAAAAGAATATTTGCATAGACCGCTTTTACAAATCCACTAATTGTGCACTCAAAGAAGTATATCTTAAGAACTATGATAAATAACCATACACAACCTCAAAACCATTCCAATATCCATGGAGATTTCCATCTTTAGGAAACTGGCAAGATATATTAACACACACATGCGCACACACACACAAACACCACACACACATGCTAGAGCACATTGCAGTATCTAATTTTTTTATCCTTAGGTTCTTTTACTTCACTTGAAAGCTATCAAAATAAAACATCTTACTTTCACAAGACCAAATGCCTTAACTTCTACATCCGAGTTGATCAGACTCGTCAGACATGACAATGTTACATGGGGAAAATATAATGAAGCATAAATTATACAACATTTCAGCCTGTTAACAAAAAATAGGGTATTGGAAAAAGGTGATCAATTGGCATTATTTGCAACCCACAAAAGATGCAACCAGATTTACTTGGTTCTGCCGGTTGGTTTTGCATGCATTATGTCCTTGTGCAATATTGTATATTTGGGAATTGTTTAATTGGAAAATTAAATTTATGGTAGATTAGTTCAACATAAATACATAACAAATGTGTATCTTTACGGGTGTAGGACACGTGCAAGATTCATGCCTCTAGAGGCTCAGATGTATCTGGATATGAAGACACGTGGCGTGCAAATTTTCTTCAAAATCACAATGCATTTCATCAGCACCGACAGCGATCTAGCAATTTGTAATTAATGTGCAACAATTCACGTGTTTGGTTTACACGAAACTCAATGACATTTCTAACTACGCCACAAAGAAATTAAAAGGAATACTTAAATATCATTACTTGTCTAACATTTTTGTAGCAGAAACAATGTTGTTTCCAGGGAGGTACAAAGGTAGGAGGATAGTATCTTAGAACTATTATCATAGAGCTAAAAGTAACAAGAACCAATCACTGAGAAGCCAATGCGAGAAAAATTTAATACAAGGCAGCTACCCCACTCGACAATTGCATAATAGTCAAAGTTACAAATACCAGACATAGCCAGACATTGTTTGAGAATGGATCTAGTATCAAAAAGTCTTGGTGCAACATATTAAACATTCTACATTACAAAATCACAAGTACGTGGCTTTAAGCTCCAACATCCTTAATAAAGATGGGGATGGCCAGATATTTATTGATGACACCATTTAAAGTAGTTTGTTTGCCGAACCGAACCATTGTGTCGGCGCAAGTCAACAGATTCTACTAGGAAATAAAGAAAATAAGCGGCAGACTCATAATGACAATGCCACAAAGTGATGAGAAACGCTTGATACAGGTGGCCGCAAATAGCTCATTCATGACACGTAAAAAACATGCATAATGGACATGAACAGCTGTAAGAAAACTACAAACGCTGACAAAATTGAGATAAATCACATAAGACAACTTCGCACCGAACTAGAAATTATTAAAAATGCAAGGAAAATAAAAGGTAAATAAACAAAAAGAAAAAAGTTTTGGGTCTCAAAGATTTAACAAACAAAAAGAAAATGAAATACACGGCTAAAATTTAATGAAACTTGAGGATTTTCAAATTTGTTCAGGTTTGATGTTGTCAGGTGAGGAAAAAGAGAAATATTTACAATTCATTCAATAGAGTTTCCAACCTAACAAAATAGAGCTAAGTCCAACCAAATGAAACAAACAATTCATGTCCATTGCCCTCACAACCACCAATAGATATTGGTGATATTATATTCAGCATCTCAATAGTCCTCATCAGCAAACAATTGAAAATGACTTGCAATAATATAATCAGTAAAATTCGTACATCACTGACCATTTCAATATGTTAACATACTTGATTTAAAATGAACAACTGCTAGTATAAACTGCAAAGAAAAGGAGACCCTCATAGGGATGTATGACACTGTTATAGATAATCAACCAGCCCCTAATATAATTACAACAATCTACGCATGATTTTTCCTCTGGGAATGCAAAAACACATAAAAATAATTTTATAAAAAAGGTTACTTTTCAACAGAGTCAATTAAGAAGACAAGAGAGCATCACATTTCCAATAGCCCAGAGCACCAATTAACAAATGAAAATATTACTCCCAAATTGGGGAGGGGGATGTGAACAGAGAGACCAGAGAACAGAGAAACATAAGAAACAGAACCGCCATTAATTCTTCTGAAGTGCATGCGTGGATACGATCGGACAACTTGAAAGTATAAGAGAAGAAGAGGCGTATTAACATCATAAAAACATATCAAGAAAGAAAGAAAGAAGAAATTATTTAATCTCCAAGGAAATTAAGGCGACAATTACAAGAACCCAGGTCAATTAACAGTCCAAAAAACACGTATTTGATAAAGATCCAACCTTTTTCACCATAAAAAAAAAAAAACATAAAACAGTAAAAAGGACAGCACAATATTCATTTTTCAATCCAAAACCTCAATCAAATAAGATGAGAAAAAAAAAATTAAACAGGAAAACCAATTTACTTTGTTCCAGAGCCAAGAGTTGAGGCCATGAAGAACTTGGGAGATCTGAGGCTGGCCATTTGAGGAAGAGCAAAAGATGGGCACTTTGGGGATTGGAAATTGATGGCATTCAACTTCAAAGCCATTTTTCCTCTTCCAATCTGTTGTGTTCTCTGCTTCAGCTTTTGTTCTGAGGTTTTTTCTGTTTGGTTTGTCTCGTGAGCTTACTATTCCACGTTTCCTTTCCTCCACAGAACTGAAATTACACAAAGAAAAAAATGGGAAATTTATATCACAACAGTGAGAGAGAAATGGTGGGACACGGAAGCCAGTTGGAGGCTGGAGTTTTGCTACAACTGTGTTTTGTGACATTTATGCAATTTGTCCTCTCTTTTTTTACCTTTTTTTTCAATTAAAAAAACCAGAATTTTATTACTTTTAATTTTTGCTCTTATACATTTTTTTTTGGTAAATAGTTCAAAACACATTTTCTCTTCTTCTTTTTAATCTGTTGAATTTGTTTCCCTCGTAAATATGTCGTAATTATTGTATTGTAATTACGTTATATTTTGTGTATGTATTCAACAGCTGATGCTCAATTGCGGTGTTAAACCACGATTACAACATACATACGTTAAGTGTGATAAGAAATTTCATTAATATTTCTTTCATATTTCGTTAGACAACCGAAAGATAGTTAAGAAAATATGTATTAAATTCACATAATACGCGCAAACATTCTTTCTTGTGTCTAAAATTAAAGAATAGTACTCCTTAATACATAAAATTAGGAACTCAAAAATGGAAGTATTTTTATTTTATTTTATTTTATTTTGACGTTGAGTCAGCACTTTTGCTTTAAGTCGGCTGTATCCATAGAGATCTATTTTCAATTCCAACTTGTACAAAAAGTAGAGTGATTTCTAAAAAATGTGAAAAAATAAACTAACTTAAATTACACCATTGATAAGTGGATGATGATTATTCATTTATCCTTAGAGATAAAGTTTTGACTAATAAATTTGTTTATACTTTGTCTACTTAAGGAAAATTTTGTCTATTTACGTGTCTATATTAATCTATGTGGAGCATCAAATGACTCACTCTCTATCTATAGTTCAAGGTAATTATTTATGCGCAAAAGGTCAATAAAAATGTTCAAAAGCTGCTTCTATATCTCTTCCCCTGTTTGAACAAAAACAGCTTCTACGAGCTTTTATTTTGATTGTCACATTTTCTAGGGGAAAAAAAGGTTATATTATTTGTCGTAATCAGTAAAAGCAGAACAAGCTGAAAAATACTCCGCTGTTTAAGGTAAAAAAAATTGTAAAAATTAATTAATACTTGTAATTAATTAGTAGTGATTCTTTGAACAACATATGCATAATCTCATTCTCGACTAATTGTACTCAAATATGGTGAAAATTTTGTTTGCTTATTGACTATATCGCAAAATCACATTGTATAATAATATCAACAATTATCAATGCTTTATCAACTAGTTTTCTAACATAAAATTCTCTCCGAAATCTTTTTCCTTAATCTCCCATTGCTTTATTTTCTTCTTTTTTTTCACAAAGAGGCTAATAATGATTCAAAAGAAAATAATGACATTTTGTTGACTTTTGTACTATAGTAGTTTCTTTTTGGGAATTCACAATTTAGTACTAGCAAAAGCTTAAGGGTATTTTTGTAAAAACAGAGGAATGACATTTTAGGTTTTTCGCACCCTGGTGTACAATTGTACATCGGTATCACAAATCGAATAAAGTTCCACGAGTATTACCAAAAGAAGGACGTTTATTTGCAGAGATAAAAGTCTACAGAGTCTTTTGTAGTAAGTATATTCTTTGGTAAAAACTAAAAGAAAAAAAAAACAACAACAACAACAAAAGAAAAGAAATGCTTGGATGATTTTATGGGATATTCCATTTTACCCTTATGAATTACACATCAATCCATATCAAATTGCATTGTTAACTCCAATTCTCAGCATGTCATTTCATATGCATAGTGCTTGTTAATTATTACTCCTTCCGTCCAAAAATAAATAAATAAATAAAATCACATTGTCATTTGTGATGTTTTTAATATAAATTACAAGTTATAATTTGAACTTTTTTTATTTTAAGAATAGAATGGGAAAAAAATTTCACTTCTTAAATTTTTTCTGGAATCAATTGAACGATCTTTTTACTCATTTTTTGGTGTTTAATAAAAATTCCAAGATCATAGTTGTTTTAGCTGTCAACTACTTTTTAAGAATATTAATTAACCTTGTTATTTTGTAAACAATATCAATTAGCCATTTAGCCTCTCTAATATAACTCACATCCACCACCTCCAAATTTCACCCCCCCCCCGGCCGCACTATTGTCGGCTGCTGCCGTCACCCGAAAACAATAGCGGCGGAGAAGGTCGGTAATTTGTTGACTATCATAATTAGTTGTCTTAAACATTTTGTTAAACCTATGTCATTTATCATAATATAATAAACTTAAGATCATTTTTTAAAAAAAAAAAAATCTCTACCTCGGTAGACTCCACCTTAAATGTGGAAAAAACCTCTTGTGAAAATCGAGTCGTGTTCTATCACTAGGAAAAATAGCAACTTAACCACGAAATTGTCATTCAATTCCCTAATTTAAGATCATTTAAGAAGAAGATGAACTACTAATAAACTACTCCCTCCATTTTTTTTTATATGTCTCTATAGAGAAATCATCAAAATCAAGAAAATATTAATTAATATATTTATAATACAAAATACACTCATTTATTGTCTATACAATTCATCACAGACCAATAGAAATTCATTATAATACCGTTTCATTTCCAATACAATGGTAATATTAGTAAAAAGTAGTCAAATATGACTCGATTTGTGAAAACGATATATATTTAAAAAAATTCACCAAATCTTAAAACGATATATATTTCAAAATGGAGGGAGTACTATCTTTATTTATAAAAATAGTCAAAACTCAATGTAAATTATTTTTTCAAGCAGCGGATATGAATCTCAAAATTCAGTGTGAATCATTATAGTTTTTTTTTTTTTTTGACGGAGAGATTAGTGGTCTAATAACTGACATACTGTACATCCGTATCAATTCCATCATAACTGGAGACCAAATATTATATGGCGGAAAAAAAAAATCTAACATCAAATAGATCCCCTCACGTGTCATGCGTAACAACTAACAACTTCAAGTCATAGAGCATTGAATCATTGTCTAAAAATCTGAACTGTGGGGTTTTGCGTATTCAAGTTGTCTTTTCTTTGGTTGGCAGATGGGGCTCTTTTTTAAAAAAAGTTTATTTGAATTTAGAAGTTTACAAATTATGAAATTAGTGAAACATATTACTGAAATTTAGTGAGCATTTTTATAGTACAGTTTGATAACTAGTAATGTGATTCGATTGCTTAAATTTCAATTGAATAATGGTGATTGTACGTGTGGAACCCTTTGTTGAATTTGGTCCTAACCCATGGAAATGAAGAGGAGGACGTGGAATCCCTCTGTCCAAATGCCAAAAGTTTAATTAATATCATCCTTAATTAATTAATAGTCCGATTTGAAAATACTCCTACATAAAATCAGCTCATTACTAATTTGATTGGAATTTGTAATGTACTCATCTTAAAATCGGCATTCGACATGATCACTGACGGTAATATTACTAATTCCTCCTCTTCTCCCAAAAAAAAAAAAATGGCAGCCGAAAATATGTCTTTTTTTTGCTTTCAACATGATAATAGTGTTGTGTTTAGGAGAGGAAAAGAAATCCTATTTTTTATGTCATCAAGACAACAAAATAAATTAGAAATGTCATTCATCATAATTGTGTTTCTAGAAACAATTTAGAATCTATTCTTGACAACCTATATATAGTACTCTTTATATCAAAAAAAAAAAAACCCCATTGCGTTTGAGATTTTTATTAAAAATATATTAAATTTTGAGATTTGTCGGACTACAAGTAATAATTTATCTATTAATCCAAAACACACATTTCGAGTTTGAATTAAATTGACCTAATTGCTCGAAATGAATTTCACTAAATATTTACTAGATGCTTGCCCCGTGTGAATGTCCGGGCGGCCTTCTATGTTATTTATCAGTGAAACAAAAATAATAATAATTTGTTCGAAAAAAAATAACACCTTATACTATAATCTATGTATTAATAATAGCGTAAAACCAAAAAACGGGACGGATTTATAACATATTTTAATGAAATTAGGAAACAACATTAAAAATTCCAAAAACTGATTAAAAGTCCAAACTAAATAAAACACGTCATTGAGAGAGATGGAGAAAGATTCTCGTTAATATTTTTACTTTTACATTCGCCAGGTTCTCGTTAATATTTTTACTTTTACATTCGCCAGGTTTTAGTTGCCCTTTGAAGGTGAAGAGGTTCCCGGGCCAGAGGGTACTGCATATCTAAATGAAAAATCTACACATTTATATAAGATAGTTTTGGATCCTTCTTCTTTTCATCATCAGCATCATGTTCTATATCTCTGTTGAGCAGTTTGTTGACCGACACCCTTTTGTTGCTGGGAAATGTCAATTTGTATATTCTTAACCTGTTTACTGGACTCTTCAAACTTTCTTATCAGTGTTGAAGAATTAATATTTATGGTCGCAATCACTTTTAAAATGAATCTTTGAGAGAAACCCGTACATAAAGTTTCAAGAAAACAAAAATTTTGCCGGCACCATAGATGTAAGAATCCTTGGAGGCAACGAACATATTTTATTTAGGGAGATTAGAAAGGCGTTACTGGTAGTGCCGAATTTTTTGATATTTGATTCTTATCAACTAAATGTTGTTTTAAGGCATTAGTATATAGCTATAATTAAGGGATTAGTATGTAGTTATAATTAAGAAATTTATTTATTTGTTTATTCCTTTCTCTAAATAGTTAGTATGCCACTTGTCAAAAATGATTTTGTACTGAAAATGGTCTTTGACGGAAAAATTTTCATTGTGGTGCTGACACATCATCAGCTTGTATGCTGCTTTAATTAAGTACTAGTGGGTGACCCGCACGTTGTACAGATTGTAAAATTTTTCCTGCATTTGTGTAAAATAAAGATTATCAAAAAATGTAAGAGTAATCGCATTGAAATGTGCAGTTATATATACTCGCTTAGTCCAAAAAAGATATAAAAAATTCCCCCCTAAAAAAATACAGTATAAGCTAAAACTTCTCAAATAATAGCCGAACATTTATACTGTAATTTTAATCTTTGCGTTTGAATTTTTTACTCTTATTTTTCATGTCACAAAATTTGTAAAATGAATATTTTTCGTTGTGTATTTTATCTTTATGGTATGAGAAATGTGACTATATAGAGTAAATTCTCTTAATTGACAATATTGTCTTGCAGACTGCAACTGAACAGAAAGCGTGAGATTTAGCATACATAATACATATGCTTCCACGTTTTCTTAAATTCCATTTATTAA